TGGAACATCAGGACAAAGGGGAATCCCTCCTTCCCGGTGGCCATGGGCAGGCGCAGATGTTTATGAGCTCTCACAGCTGGCTCAGGCATCAGCAGGGTGCCAGGCACAGCCAGGGTGCCTGATCTCGGCCGTGCCAGGAGCCGGCTGGATTTCACAGAGATCCTGAGTGCTACAAGGGCTCCTGCCTTCTCCCAGCATCTCCCCCACCAGTGGATAACCCCGTTTTGTAGTTGAGCGCGTCGGCTGCCCTTAGCTCAGACCAGCCCCCTGCCCTCCCTCCCACGCCTGCTCCCCTCCCTCCCCAACTAGTTGCATTTGGAGTGAATCCAGCAGGAATCTGGACCCTCCTGGGGTTCCTTTTGCTCTAAACAGAGGCCCCCGATGCCAGAATGGGGTCCCATGATGGGGGAGAGGTTCAAAACCACATGCAATGGCAGGTCCCCATTGCTGAGAGCTGAGCCCCAACTCCAGGCATGCAGGAGATTTGGGGGGAGCTGGGACAATCCACTGCTTAGTGACCGCATGGATGCTGCAGTGTGATGGCATTTAATTACCTACATGTCTCAGATGATTAACACATTAAATTCCAGGGCTGTGGCTGCTGTCCTAAAGCCCATGCAGAGCCTGTGGCTCTCTTCTGCTGCCAGGCAGCACCCAGACATCCCGTTGTGTCCACCTGGGACTGACAGCCCTCCCACAACACATGGTCCCCGAGGACTCTGAAAATCCCTTGCAGGGAGGTCTCAGCGACCATCAGCAGAGTTAAAAACAGCAGCTGGCTGAGGCATGGGCATGTCACCACCAAAATTGTTTCCTGCTGGTCTCAACCCTTTGGAAAGCCCCTGCCAAGGCAGCTGCCAAACCCCGGGGGAGATGCTCCAGGCGGCCCACGACAAGCTGGGTGCTGTTTGCTGCCCCAGAGGTTGCTCCCATGGTCCTGTGTGTCCATCTAAGCCAAGATCTAAAAGGTGTTTGGGTTTCGTTTTTCATTCTCCTGGCATAGCAGTTCTCCCCGCAGCACGGAGCCGCCTGCTGCAGGGCACCAGAGTGTTTAGCATCTGCTTAAAATTTTTAATTGTTTTCACGTTAAGTGCCTGATGATGTCTTTTAGATAGAAATGGGAGGGATTTAGCCTTCCCTCCCTCCCTGTTTCCCTCCCTCTCCTCTCTTCCTCCCTCCATTTCTTCCTTCCTTTCATCCTTCCTGCCTCACTCCCATCCTTCCCTTATTCCTCCCTAAAAATTTACTAATTTCTTCCTTACTACGTTCTTAAAAGGCCCATTCAGTCACAGGCAGCAGCAGGCAAGGAGAAACTCAACAATAAGGGCAAAAACAACAGTAAAACTGGAATGAAATGACAGCCATAAACCCAGTACCAGGAGGGACAGTAAAACTGCAGTTTGGCAGGAGCCAGCAGGTCTGCACTAATACCTTTTTTTCTGATTAAAAGACTCCGGTCACAGATGAACTTTTTTTGCTCAATATTTATTGTCTCACCTGTGCTGGAAGGCAGGGAGGAGAGGAGGAGTGGGCTGGATTTGGGATTTGGGATCTGCAGCAGCTCTGCAGTCTGGCAGCTGCCTAGGACACAGACACGTAATCAAAGATGACGAACGTGCCTCCAGCAGTTACCCTCCATCATTAAGTATTGCACCAAAGGGTCTCTGTCCACCAGAGCAGCACCCCAGAGTAGCATTACCGAAGAATGTCCATAGAAGGAGTCAGTGTCAGAGCTGGTGATGCCCTGGGTCTCCCAAATACACAGGACAGGGGTGACGATGGAGACAGGCACCGCTACAACCTGGGCGAGCACGTTGGTTTGTCTTAGTCGAGCCAAAGCCCCAGCAGCTCTGGGGAACCCACATCCCTAGGTAGCCCAACCCATTTGTTTCAGTGGCATCAGAAAACAGGATGGAAATGAGACTAAATTCTTGGCCATCCTCCCTCAAGCATGTCTACATCTCCGCATCCGCTGCTGGGCTTTTGCCTTGCTCCTTGCAGAGCGCAGGACATGCCATCCCCAGTGCAGAAGCACCACGGCCCTTCCCTAATCCCTCACAGCCCTATTAACGTGCCATAGAGGGAGCAATCACCTCCACGGGACCTCCATGTGTTTTTAATGCATTAACCCCATGCTTGAGTTTTGACTCAGCTCTCCTCACTCCCCCCATCACCTGCCCTGCTCGTCCTCCCAGAGCAGTTCAGGGCAGGGATTGTGGAGGAAGTATTTGCCCTGATGCTGGGGGACCGGGGCTGAGGACAAGGGTGATCCCATCGCGGGGACACTTTTCCCAGGATGGTCTCCAACAGCTCCCGTGCAGAAGTGGAATGACAGGGAATCCCAACAGGCCTCAGTTTCCCTTTGATGCTGCCAGGTCAGGAGCAAAGGCTGGGTGCCGTGGACCCAGCTAGACATTTTTGATCTCACCATAAATCATTTTTTGATTACAACTGGACTGCAACTACAAAAATATAAAAGGCTTCAGGGCTTTACAGCATGGCAGCAATGGTTCCTATGATTTGTAATGCCTTTGCATCCTCAGCAGCTCCATTTGCACCAGCATGATGCCTCCCTGTGACACAGAAAAGGCTCGTTGCTCCCTCGCAGCCTTTCACACCCCCTCGCACAAGCTAAAAATATCGGGGCTAGAGGAGGTGGATCTGTCATGAGGAAGGGGGGGTGGTTCAGCATAGCCAAGGTTCAGTTCTCACACCTGGCTGCACCCCTCCCTCCTCCTCCACCTGCTGCTGACTTCCGCCCTGAATGTTTCAGAAGTTTTTGGGGGGGAAAAATTTAATTTTTTATTTTAAATTAATTCTCAGGCCATCTCTGAGCTATTTTGGCAACAGCTAAACTCTAGCAGCTGCTACCTGCCAGGGAGGGTATCCCAGCATGGGTACTGGCACTCCTCGGCACGCACTGCCTCCCCAGCCTCCATCCTAAATCACAACACAACAAACAGGCTGTTCATTAGGCGCTGTTTAATTAAGCAATATGGATCCTGCCTCGATATTTACAATCCCACTTGCTCTGATTTATTAGAGAGAGAGTCTCGTTTTTAAAGACGGCAACTGTAAAGTTTAATACCGCTTGACTTACTGCGAGTTTCATTTACGGCCCCGGGCCGAGGCGCTGCAGCCCAGGCTGGGAGCCGGTGGGCTATTAAATCAGAGCTAACTGCGCGTGCAAGGAGATGACTAGCTTCGTTACAACTGGTTCAGCGGCTAATTACCCCAATCTGGATTCCCACATTTAAGCCAATTCGTTGCCACTTTTCCAGGGCCCTGGGGAAGGGCGGGGAAGTTTGGAGGTTCATGCGAAGACATTTGTTGCGATGAGAAGGGAGGGGGGGGCTGCAATGGGGATGGTCACAGACCCCAAACAGACACTGCTTGTCCCGGGGGGGGGAAGAAAACAGTCTGCAAGAGGCCAGACGCTGAGTTGGGCACCCCCCATGCCTGAGTGGGCAATGTGGTGTACAGTGATGGCTCCAAGCCCAAGGGTCACCCCAAAACTCACCACCTCCTCCCTAAACCCCTTGGGCACCTGGGGAGCTCTGGGGCTGGGTGGTGGGATGGCTTGTGGGCTCTGGGACGGGGCGACCAGCATGCAGGAGGGTTGCATCCTGCCTGGCTCCGAGCCTCACACTGGCCGGGCTCCTCTCCCTGCCCCAGTCCAATGGGTAGGGATGGGGGACAATGCACAGATGGGGCAGGGGGGGAAAAGCCCTCCCCACAAATTGTGGTGGTGTAGGTAGGAGAAGAGCATTTCTCTTCTCATAAGGTATTTCTAGTCCCCAGGAGTCCACTCACGGACTTGACAAGGATAGGGGCCTCATTAAGGAGTTATGAGAATGGCTCTTTAGCGACAAATAAAAAATATTTGTGCAAAGGTGTGATGGCAGACAGTGCTGGGCATCCTCCCACATCAGCTGTGGGGCATCACTGTCCAGGACCTACCCCTGCACAGCCCCAGGGCTTCCCTGGGGGAAGGGGCTGCAGGGGGAAGAGCACTGAGCTGATTGCAGCATCCCTCAGCTCAGCCAGGGACCGGGCACAGGGAAGGGGAAAGGGGACAACAGCACCATGAGCAGAGCTGGACCCACCGGCAGCTTCTGGGCTAGCAATGAACCAGCCCCTTGCTGCATCCCAGCAGTCCCGCATGGCAGCCACAGCACCTACGGCAGGGCAGGAGAACCGCAGGGCGGCCACAGCACCTACGGCAGGCAGGACGAAGGCTGTAGCCTGGCAGCCGCAGGCAGAGAGGAGGAAGAGGAACAGTTGTATGAGCCATGGCTAGACATCCCTGGCCAGCAGCCTCCGCGTTTGCCAGGTCTCAGCCCTCTCCCAAGAACAGGCTAAGCCTTGGGCAGCATCAGTTCCTCCCTGCTTCCCACTCATCCCCGAGCCTGCAGCACTCAGAGACAGACTCAGAGCTCCCCCCAGGGAGGAAGAGGAGGCAACGCAGAGACAGGGAGAGCAGCAAGCAGCATAGGGCTTCCAGCACACTCCCTGCAGCCCCCAGGGTTATCCCCCCACACCCGCTGGGGGTCCCCATCAAAGACCCCAAACCTCCCACCCAGGGCTGAGAGCCACCAGAGCACAGGCAGGGGCACTTTGCTTCCAGGTTTTATTGGCCTGCAGAGCTGTGCCCCTCCACGGGGCCAGCAGCACTCCCAGTCCCACCCAGTAAGACTGGACTGGGAGGAAGGGTGAGCCCTTTAGTGCTGGTACAAGCATGCTGCACAGCCGGGAAGACACAGCCTGGGATGGGGATGGAGACTGGGGGGAACCACAACACCTGCACAAGGATGCCACAGGATTTGGACTGGGGTACCCGAACAGGCAAAACTAGTCCCCAAGACAGGTCCAGCCGCAACAAGGCTCAGGAGAAGGTGGAAGACCAGAGCGCTCACAAGTGACATGAGCTACCAGGCCTCAGCTCTCACCACCCCCCAGCCTCACCCAGCAGAGCTAAGGGCCAGCTCCACTACTCCCCGTCATGATGTCTCCTTGGTTCTCTGCTTGTAGTGCACCTCGGGGAGGCTCCTCAGGCGCTCAGCTGCCTGTGGGGCACAGCATGAAGGGTGGTCAGCAGCTGGTCCTGCAGACAGCCCTGGCACAAGACCCCCTGGATCACCACAATCCCCTCCTCGAGCAGCACTGACCTGCTCCGGGGTGAGGTCCCGCTGCGCCTGTGCCAGCATCTCGTAGCCCACCATGAACTTGCGGACGGTGGCAGAGCGGAGCAGCGGGGGGTAGTAGTGAGCATGGAGCTGCCAGTGCCTGCAGTCCTCCTCCAGGTAGGGGCCCGTGGGTGCTCCTGCCAGGGGTGCCGCCAGTGCATGAGCC